TCGTCACCCTCTTCCTTCTTCTCCTCTTCACCTTCATCCTCGCTGTCTGTGACCTCCTTCTCCTTGCTCTTCTCCACATACAGCTCAATTGGGAAGCCAATGAACTCGGAGTGCTTCTTCACCAAGTCCTTCAAGCGGCGCTCCTCCAAGAACTCAGACTGGTCCTCCTTGAGGTAGCAAATGATCTTCGTGCCACGTTTGATTTCGCCATGGACGAGCTCAGTGTCTTTCTGCACGGTGAAAGACCCACCAGCTCCGGACTCCCAAATATACCTGGATCGGGTGCGATTTGAACAACGAAGTCCACAGCATTCAATTGACACGCAAAAGTTACACAGTGGGCTCACCAAATTTGCCTCCTCAGCCTAACTACGAGCATCCAACAAACGGATAACAAGCACTCACAGGGGGCTCAAGGGGCAACAACCTATACTGGATGGTTGACCATGGTTTCTGAGCAAACTATCCTGACATCAGGCTTAAATTAGGAGGAAGGCCCTGAACCCATTCCAGCAAACCCAGTCGAGGCTTTAGAAAAGAAGAATCAAATCAGGTCTAACCCGAAGGATCCTGAAAGGTTTGGGGTTTCACTCGTTTTGACCTGATTTCATTGTGTTTTGTTAGCCTTACAAAAGAATGTGGCGTTGGAAGATCTAGGTACTGCTCATCATCATTGTGCTTGCTGACAACACGAACCTTGTCCGACACAAGGTAGGCACTGTAGAAGCCGACGCCGAATTGGCCAATCATGGAGATGTCACCGCCAGCGGCCATGGCTTCCATGAAGGCCTTAGTGCCTGACTTGGCAATGGTGCCCAGGTTGTTGATGAGTTCATTCTTGGTCATGCCGATGCCAGAGTCCTCGATGGTCAAAGTCGAGTTGGTCTTGTCCGGCACAATCTTGATGAAAAAGTTTGGCTGGGCCTCACAAACTAAAGGCCATGACGGCACAGAAAGAAACTCAACAAGCAACAAAGTTGAATTAACACAAAAATATCAAGAGGCAAATTACAGTATTAGGAATCGGCGGAATCGGTTTGAATGTCAGGGAAACTGTCAGGGAATTCAAAGGGACAAGTTGAAATTGAAAGGAACCTCAGGGAAAAACTGGCCGATTCTAGCCCCAACGGAATCCCAAAGGACAATATATTCTGAAATTCCACCATGGTCATCATGGCTTTCAACATATTTCAACAAGGAACGCAAGACATTCTGAAGAAAGATCGGTCGAACATAATATACAGGTGCCCCGAAAGTTTGGTCGGACCTGGAAATCTGGCGACCAGTGTTGGCATGAAAACAGCAGCCAACTGTGCAAAACCAGAAGGTGTTACACTGACACTGTTATAAGCGGGAGTCCAAGGCACATCATGTGCCCGAAAGGCACATGATTACAGACTGCAACCACCACAGTGCTTTTGTTGCAAGGCACATCACATCAGTGGAAACCCCATGGCCACAGCTGCTTGAAGTCGCCCGAAGAAACTTGTCATTATTCACGGCGAAACGTTGAATTTCCTATTTCCTTACCGAGACCTATGGCATCCTATGGCTGTGACCGAAACATGTTGCTAGACGACAGATGGAATCCCATGGCCACAGCCTACCTTTGGACATGTCCATGGCAATTAGAATAAACTTTAGCGGTACATTGGGGTCCTGTGCGAGGCCTTCGCAAAGGTCCGCGAGACCGTGGCGACAGACCGGACAATACATCTACCGATGCATGTTTTGGGAGACCTTCAACCGGTAGCGCAGCATGCTGTAGAAGCTGTTGGGTGTTTGAGTTGTCAAAAATGCCCGAAATCGTACTTCGGCGCGCCTCGATCTTGTCCGGGTCGGTGATGGACTCGTAACGGATCTTGTCCAAGGCATCGGACGCATTGGAGATCAACTCTCGAAGGAAAATCTCCTTGTTGGAATAGAACCTGGGTATCAAAGCGTGGCCCCATAAAATGAATCCACCAAATGCAATCTGCAAAACACGTAAAACTGCAAAGCCAAAGCATACAAGAATGAAATCGGATGAAATCGTATGAAGTCATGACTAACCTGTAAAAGGTCATAATCCCCAACCCTCGCGATCTGTAAACCGTTGCAGTCCGCAATCCGTTTCAGGACCCCACATACCCCACAATTGAATCAGGTTGAGTTTAGAGGCCAAGCATGGCCAAGCCGTTATGCCCAGCGGAGAGTTGATGCTGTGGCTTGGGCTCGGCTTGGGCAAATCGAGAACCCCCAACCACCCCCAACTCACTAGTTTCGATACTCTGCTTCCTTTTCAGGGTGCTGCTTCGGGCTTCATATAAATACACCAAACCCCAGAATGCACTGAACAAGGAGGTTGGTGAATGTTGTTTCGGCTCTGGTTTGTCCACAACTGTCCGACTGCTCCCCAAAGTTACTGGTTCCCAGTAATTAATTGCACCGGACTTCTCTACCAGGACATGAAACCCCAGAATGTGTTTCTGGTGGTTGAGTCATGTTGAGTAGATCTATTTTCTATTGTTTTGGGTTCTGCTTGGGCTCCTGCAAGAACCTCAAATTCACCCGTGTCCAGTCGCTGTTTACATCTGGAGGCTCTGTTTTGATCCATAATAAGCATAAAATGAGGGGTACCAAGTACCGAGTTCGAATCCGTACATGCGCGTCTTATATTACCGGGCAATCCCAAAGGTTCAAGGGTTCATGATTACGATGCCAAAGCAATCCAAAGGACGTATTGATAATCAGACTCATCAACTGCTGGATGTCAGCATTGAAGGCGAAGGTCTCTGCCATTGATGGGAGAGGCTCTCTACGAATTGGCGACTCAAAACTTGGAGCTGAAAACGGGCTCTGCGTAGCACAAAAAAAGCTCACCATGATCCGAACAGGAGTCTAAAATGCGCTGTGACAAGACTCAACTCAAAAACGGTCTTCTCCTTGGCTATTCATGTGAGTCGCGGTTCTTCAGAACGGACATCTGTGTCCGGTTTTGTGTGTGTGTGCCCCTTGTAGTCACAGGGATTCTTTTGAATTGGTCTTCAGCAGGGGGGTAGTAGCCCACTCATGAGCCTACTGCCAACGAAGCTGCTCATGAGTTGGGAGGATATCGGAGCTGATCACTCCGACGTACCTGCAATGTTTGTGATGTTCTTAAGCTGTGCCTCTCATTTCCTTAAAGGGCTAATGCACTCGGCAGACAAGAACGCACGACGTCATCTCGACCTGCTCGTCCCTTTCGGTCTTGAGCTTTTGGCCCACTTTGGCCCCTTCTCCTTTTGAAGACCTCCAGGCTCCAATGGTTCTTACTTGTACTCTTAGGAAATGGTAACCTAGGCTGGTGTGTGGCACCGCATTCACATCAGTACGCATATCCATGAGTGTGTCTGGCTTCATGCAAGCCCGGGGTGAGCCCGCAGAGTGCCCCCCGTGGACCCGTCTAACGGGCGTCAGTCCATTGTTCTCCCTGCTCGGGAACGTAGGTGTCCGAAGCGGACAGCAGGAGGCTTGTGCCAAAGTTATTTGCCAGGATTTGTCGCACTCTGAAATTCCAAGCTGGCTCATGCCATTACGTGACCATAGCGGTCAAAGTATTTTTGCGGTTCATTGGAACCTGTCCGGCCCTTAGAGTGATGAGCAATATTCACGGGAATCGACACCTTTCCCATTTCGACCACTACACACTGTTGCTTCCCGCCTACATGATGATGCCATTTGTCAACTGAGGCTTCCAATGACTGCTTACCAAACTTTCCGGGAACTCCGCCGTTTTTCGTAGTTTCACTAGTTCCACCCTGTCTGGAGCTCAGGAAAATATGCCTCCCTTCGGGGAGGCGTGTGTGTGTGCCCCTTGTAGTCACAGGGATTCTTTCGAATTGGTCTTCAGCAGGGGGGCAGGGAGCAGTAGCCCACTCATGAGTCTACTGCCAACGAAGCTGCTCATGAGTTGGGAGGATATCGGAGCTGATCACTCCGACGTACCTGCAATGTGTGTGATGTTCTTAAGCTGTGACTCTCATTTCCTTAAAGGGCTAATGCACTCGGCAGACAAGAACGCACGACGTCATCTCGACCTACTTGTCGCTTTCGGTCTTGAGCTTTTGGCCCATTTTGGCCCCTTCTCCTTTTGAAGACCTCCAGGCTCCAATGGTTCTTACTTGTACTCTTAGGAAATGGTAACCTAGGCTGGCGTGTGGCACCGCATTCACATCAGTACGCATATCCATGAGTGTGTGTTCATAAATACCATAAACAGTCATCCCTCCGTCCATCTAAGGCCTGAGATGGACGATACATTTAAGTACTACAAAACATCGTCAGGGAACATCATCCGCCTTCATATCATGTATATTCATGTATTATATAACTTGTAATTGTATATGAATGTATATGACATCTTGTAACCTTATGACAACCTGCATCGCAACCCTTATCACTATCACTCACAGCCCTCATCACTCGGAACCCTCTTCACAACTGAACTACCCTTCCTCTTCAAACTCCTTCTTCGGACGCCGGGCTCTCATATCTGTCGTGCAGCTCTCGGTCTTGCAGCATCCTGACACCGTCTCGGTTGGTCAAGAGTTGGTCCACAGGCCTACTATCGGCCTGGCAGTGTTTTTGATGAACATCTCCGGAACAAAGTTTGCTTGAGAAGTCCAGGTGTTTAGTGTCTGTGAGATTGCTAGTTGCTTACACTTTTCATGCCGTGTGTTGCATGGTGCCATCATGACCAAGTTGGCGAAAAGGTCCATCGTAGGATAACCGTACCATCCAAACTCACAGGTAACATATTGCAAACATCGACGAACACCTGCATGTCCTCTGTCCCTGGATCTTTTGCTCTTCTCCGGGCTCGGTCCTTGGAACTGGAGGGCTCACCACTGGGGGTGGCAAAGGCCTCATGGGCGGCACAGGCCAAGATCTTGACAGCAGCACAGATGGATTTTTTGGGGAGGGCGTGAAATGCATTAAAATGCCAAAGACGTCTATTGCCGCGTGTTTAAGATGTTTTGAGTGCATTCTCGCCGTTCTCCCTTTTCTATTAGTCTTATTGCAGGGCGCCGCCCTGTTTAACGACACATGGTGACATGACGTGGGTTCTTTTGGAACATGATCTTCCAAGGCAAATCAAAGCCATGGAATTTCCAAGACGTGTGGGTGCAGTTTATTCACAAAAGAGACAGGGTCATTCTCGCCTGTCGTCAAATTGACTCCGATTTCCGGGCTTAATATTCTCTGTCTTCCCCACACAGATGAGCTCAGCATGCCAAGGGTATCTTCTGAAGCACAGGGTGTTAAAAGCATGTGAGGTCTTAATTTAATGTCCATGCAGCATGCAGGTATCTCCGATGTACCACCTTATCTCAAAGCCAGATTGGATTTTGGGATGATTTTGGATCAGCAATAGCAGCTTCCATGGCTCTATGGTTCACAAATGCCTGAGATCCAAACTTGTGTCCACCTCAGTTCTCACCTGCCAGACCTCCTGCAAGAGACGTGTGTTGTTCTTCAACACCTTCAACATACAGCTCATTTGGCCCGAGCCCAAGAGAACTCAAAGAACGGTGTCTCCCTCCGATACCACTCTTTTTCCCCTCAATTCGCTTGGTGATAGACAAAAACAACAACACCTATCACCTATCATAATCTAGGCATATCTATGCACAATAACACTTTCATCAAAATGATTTGACTGTGTTTGATTGCTGCTCAGGTCCTTCTCAGCTCATTCTCAGGTGCCTCTGGCTCCTTTTCGGAGGTGGAAACACTTTCTCTGCTTGGAGATTGAGAGATGAGCGCAGCTGGCTAGCGGCTTTATCCAAGAAACGTGGGATGGCTTCAGGAAGTATGACCAAAACATCAGTGGCTGTGCAACAAATGAACACTACGTCTCGTAGACCTTCACACTGTACAAATTCAAGTGAAAACCAGGAACATGAAGGCCAGGGGGGCAGGAAAAACCTTCTAGGAAGGGAAAAAACCTGCCACAGTGAAACAAAGTGAAACGAGGCAACAAGTGGAGTAAGCTTACAGGAAGCTCCAATGTTGACTGTTCATCGATACCATCTCCGTCATACGGAACGTTTTAGTCAACAGTCTACATTGGCTCCATTTAAAGGAAGAACACCACTGAAGTCCCGTTCCACCAAATAAAGACCAGTATATAGAATATAAATAGACATTTAACATCAAGTAACGTTTAAAGAAACACCTGGAAAAAAACATAAATAACACACAAATTATGTATATATATATATATACATGTTTAAAAGCCGACGCACAACGTCTATATATAGAGTATAGAGTACGTCCCAAAACATGGCGTACGATCAGCTAAAGCATCGAAGCGGAGCAGTGACCCAGTGGCTCACTTCCAAGGCATGCGGGAATCCGAGGTGATCCGGAGGTTGCGGGTCGATTTCCATAAGTCAAACAGGTTGAAACTGTGTTTCTTGGGGGTCCTCAGCCAAAGACACTGCCAGGAGAGATGAGATTCATCTGGGAACACCATGCTCAGCTTCATGCAGAGGGTTGAAATGTGTGCGCGTGGCAGTTGGGGCTCTCTTTTCTGCTGCACTTCAATGTTTGTGGATCGGTTTGTTGGGTATATAGCACACTTGCTGCACACTGACCAAATTATGGTCTAAAGCTACCTGAATTCGGTTCTGGCAACTGGATTTTAGTCCACTTCTTCCATCTTGGAGGCCTCATCCGCAGCTCCCTCAACCTCCTCCAGAGGGGGCAAATCGTCGTCATCACCCAAGCCCTCATCATCGTCGTCGATGCTCAGGCCAAGCTTGATCATGCGGTGAATGCGGCCAGCAAACTGGGTGGGCTCATCCAGGTTGAAGCCAGATGTCAGCAAAGAAGTATCAAACAGCAACCAAATCAAGTCCTTCACGGTCTTGTCAGACTTGTCTGCGGCTGCCTTCTTCTTCAACTCGGCCATGATGGAGTGCTTGGGGTTCACTTCCATGGTCTTCTTAGAGACCATGTAGGAGGTCATGGAGCTGTCACGAAGAGCCTGTGCCTTCATGATGCGCTCCATGTTCGCAGACCAACCATACTCAGAGGTGGTCAACACACAGGGTGAGTCGGCCATGCGGGAGGAGATAATGACTTTCTCCACCTTGTCTCCCAAGACTTCCTTCATGAGCTTTGTCAGCGGCTCAAACTCAGCCTTCAGCTCCTCAATCTTCTTCCTTGGATTGCCCGAGAGGGAAGAAATAGATCGAAATACGAGGTTAGCATGTGTCCTGCTTTTCTGTCAGAATTGGAAATCGTTTAAGCTGAGTTTCTTTTCGTCCTCATCATCAATGTCAAGACCTAAGCTGGTCTGGTACGCTGGTCTTTTCACCCAGCAAAATATGTCAAAATTGATGAAGGCAGCTGAGGCCCAGACCTTCCTTCGTGGTACTCTTCAATTTCTTGCCTTGAATTTGAATGACGGACTTGGAATGAAAAGGACTACAAATTAAATATTCCTTGTAAGAGCCGGCAAGAGCTGTATATAATAGTTAATTATTATTGTTTTTTTCACATATCATTAGAAGGAGAGGGTTAGATTTTCAAGAGGGGACACAATGCAAAAAAAACAGCAACACCGTGCGGAATCCAGGGTGCCATCAAACTCCTTGAGTTGCTGGGTGGCATACTCGTCAATGGGGTCAATCATGTAGAGCACCTCGATGCCCTTCTTGCGCAAGGTCTCAAGGAAGGGTGAAGACGACACTGCCGCGATACTCTCACCTGTGATGTAGTAGATATCATTTTGGCCCTCCTTCATGCGGTCCACATACTCCTTCAGGCTAATCTGCTCATCGCCAGACTTAGAGGTGTGGTAGCGAAGGAGTTCAGCCACCTTCGTCCGGTTGGTGGAATCTTCGTGCACCCCCAGCTTGAGGCACTTGCCGAACTGTTCATAGAACTTTTTGTAATCATCCTTCTTCTCAGCGATCTCAGCAAACATCTCTAAGCACTTCTTCACCAAGTTCTTCTTGATCACGCGCAGGATCTTGTTCTGCTGAAGGGTCTCGCGAGAGATGTTCAAAGGCAAATCCTCAGAGTCCACCACACCCTTCACGAAGTTCAGCCACTCAGGCATCAACTCTTCACAGTCATCCATGATGAACACACGGCGCACATACAGTTTGATGTTGTTGCGCTTCCTCACCAGCGGTTAAAACAAAAACAACTTGGCACCTTTGCCTTATTCTTCAAAAGCAGAATTATATAGAATATTATATATTATAGAATTACAACTCAAAAGGAAAGCGATTTGCAACCACTGGCCAACTGAGTCTCTTCTTTGTCTCGAAGAGATCGAAAGGAGCCCGGCGAGGCACAAACAGCAGCGCGCGGAACTCCAGCTGGCCTTCGACGCTGAAATGTTTAACGGCCAAGTGATCCTCCCAATCGTTGGACAAAGACTTGTAGAAACTGGCATACTCTTCATTGGTCACATCCTCTGACTTGCGCATCCACAACGG